GCTGCGCATTGCAGCCCCCTCTGGCTGGCCACGGAGCCGCGGGGCCTCTTGCAAAAGGTGACGGGCGTAGCCTCCCTCCCCCTACCGGCCGGGTGGTGCGAGAGCTCCTGCAGCTGCTGAGCAGGCAGATACCTGCGCTCTCACACGGTAGTCTGAGCTCTCTGCTTTCGGCAATGAGCTAGTTACCATTGTTGCCCTTGAAAGTATCATCAGCCAAGGTAGCACCCGTTGAGATTAATGGTGCAGGGCGTGGAGCGGTTCCACACTCCCAGCCAAGTCAGGCAGACATCACTTGCAGCGCATGCATGTGCTGGTTTGCCTGTTAGGCGTTGGGCTTTTTTGTTTGTTTGCTGCCTGTGAACGGCTAAGGCTTTAACTTTTTCTGAACCTGGGCCTATAGGGAACAACTGAGAGGTCTGGCTGTGCACACCCAGACCTGTGCCTGGCTTTCCAATCACTGTGCCCCCAGCTCCCACGGAGAAGGCACCACCGGGGAACTCCCGCCCCCATTGCAAAGACAGCACTGGCTGTGAGTCACTACAGTTCACACTCTCAAGGAACAAGCTACGGACGTCTGTTCACATCATTTATTTACAAGTCACATACACTTGGTTACACAGTTTACTTAGGCGACTCTCACACTAGTGGCTAACCCCAGCCCGTGTTCACAGCCTGCAGCAATCAGTCAGATTCTCTGGCCACATCCAGACCTAAGCCAGTGAATCAGCTGCATGTGAGGTCAAACGCTGCATCCTGCAGTCATATTACCCATCTTTGCCAGAAGTGAAAATGTCCCACTGGATCAAATATACTTATAGAGCCCAATGCTGCAGACCTGGCCCATTGGAGTTGATGGGATTTTTGCTCTTCCACAGAGAGCCCTCAGTAATGTCTGCCTGTCTCAAGAGTCCTGGGCCTGGTTTACAGCAGCATAGCTTCATCCACCAGGGTGTAATGAAGTGAAATCCCTGATTGCCGTGGCTGCACCAGTTATACCAGCAAGAAGGCACTTTTGTTGGTATAGTTTAGTTAGCTCAGAGGGGCTGTAATAAGCTTCATTGGCAAAATTGTGAGGGTTTAACCAGTAAAAGCTATGGGCACAGCTTATGCACTTCGCCTCTGTAGCACAGAGCTATGTTTCTACACAGACGTGACTCTAAACTCTAGGGCTACGTCTACACTGGCCCCTTCTTCGGAAGGGGCATGCTAATTTTGAAAGTGGGAATAGGGAAATCCGCGGGGGATTTAAATATCCCCCGCGGGATTTAAATAAACAGGGCCGCCGCTTTTTTTCCGGCTTGGGGAAAAGCCGGAAAAAAAGCGGCGGCCCTGTTTATTTAAATCCCGCGGGGGATATTTAAATCCCCCGGGGGGTATTTAAATCCCCCGGGGGGTATTTAAATCCCCCGGGGGGTATTTAAATCCCCCGGGGGGTATTTAAATCCCCCGGGGGGTATTTAAATCCCCCGGGGGGTATTTAAATCCCCCGGGGGGTATTTAAATCCCCCGGGGGGTATTTAAATCCCCCGCGCATTTCCCTATTCCCACTTTCAAAATTAGCATGCCCCTTCCGAAGAAGGGGCCAGTGTAGACGTAGCCAAGTGGAAAGGCTGGGAGAGGGAAATAACAGGACTTTTCCCAACATAACAGCCCCACAGCCTTGAACTGAATGCTTGCAGACTTGAAAAAGTATTTAAAAGGGACAGCAAAGGTTAAGGGCAGCCCCCACTGTGAAGGGACTAATTCCATTTGCAGGTCAATTTCACACTAATTAAAATGCACTAATTTGCAAAGCCAGCAACCCCGCATGAACTTTAACCTTAGCAAGTAGTTTCCTGAGGAAATGCTGCCTCTTTATTCAGGCAAATCCTACTGAAGCTCTGCATAATCTTCCCCTTTCTCTCCCTCTGGCTCTTCTTCTCTTCCATTTCTCTCGTTCTCTTCCTTTTCTACCTCCTTCTGTTTGTTTTCGTCTCTTTCCTTTTGGTCATCTGCCTCCTCTCCTTCACTGTATTCAGCATAATAATCATAATCTGGGGAGGTGGGAAATCAATGCAGGTTTTTTTAAACATCACTTTTTTAAAATCTCACCAAGTTACATTAATCAGAGTAAGGGCTTAAGTTTCAGGTCAGAACTGGCAAGTTGCATCTGTTTGGAATTCATGTGTGCACAAAAAGAGGTGAACTCTGTTTAGTCACCCTGTGCAGTGAGTGCTGTGGGAGAATGCTGTTGGGAAAAGGGGTGTGGTTGAATTCAAGAAGCATTGGGAGTTTCCTTTGCCAGTTCTGGCACGTTCAACCCAAAAGTGCATAACAGAAGGATGAATAACAAACTAGTTGCCTGTTGCACACATACCTGCCCCCTCCCCTGCCTAGGCATCCATGCCTAACTCTATCCGCAGCACATGCACCTTGCAAGATCTGTGTGGGAAAGCTGGCTGCCAGACCAAATGGCACTAAGAATGATGCTAAGATTTAAATATTAAATTGGCATCCTTCTCGTAGGACTGGAATATGTATCCTTATGGCTGATCCATGTAGCTGTATAACAGTCACATATATCCTGGCTACTGTAACACTATATTCCTTTTATACTTTTGTTGATTTCATTAAATAACGACCTCACACCTTGGGGCTATGTATGATCCAACTACAAGAGCAGGGCTTCCTGTTGTGTATTAATTGAGGATCCATTACATCTGTATTAACCACCCAGTTTGTGTATTCCAGAGAGATTTTAGTGTCTAAATATGGGATCCAAACTTTCAGGATATTATGTATAACAGACCCATATTGAAGTAGTTTCAGTTTCACTCTTGAGGATCCATTTTTAGTATATTCTCTGCTGTGCTATTACATATCTGCTTCCCCCACAAGGGATCTGGAGTGATCCTATGCTCTGAGTGAGACCCAGGCCCTCTTCTTTCTATTGCTAGTGTCTCTCAGGGTGTGTCTAGACTACATGGCTCTGTCGCCAGAACCATGTAGATTAGTTTACTAGACATACCCAAATGAAGCCGCGATTTAAATAATCGCCCCTTCATTTAAATTAAAATGGCTGCCGCGCTGTGCCGATCAGCTGTTTGTCAGCTCAGCGCTGTAGTCTGGATGTTCCGAGGTCAACATCAAAGGCATTTTTCGACCTCCCCAGTATGCCTCATGGGATGAGGTTTACCGGGGAGGTCAACAAATGCCTTTGATGTCGACCGCAGAGTGTCCAGACTAGCGTGCTGAGCCAACAAACAGCTGATCGGCACAGCGCAGCAGCCATTTTAATTTAAATGAAGCGGGGATTATTTAAATCGCGGCTTCATTTGGGTATGTCTAGTAAACTAATCTACATGGCTCTGGCGACAGAGCCATGTAGTCTAGACATACCATCACAGTCCTTAGACTCCCTCAGCAAATCCAGTCTCATCAGTGCCTTTGTTTCCTCTTCACCAGTGGAGTGGGAACATTTTAAAAAGCTGAAATGCTGAACCCCCTAACCCTTTTCCACACAGGCCGGGAGCAAAGCCCTGGCACATAGGCTGGCAGCTAAGGCTCTGGGCATATGGCTGGCAGCAGAGGTCCTCGACACATGAGGATCAAACCGGAACCCCAGCACGTGGGGCCGGCAGCAGAGCCCCCAACACATGGGGCTAGCAGCCAGGACCCTGTGTGCTAGGCCCTGCACCTATGCTCTTCACCCCTTTATCCCTGCCAGCCCCTTAGACAGTAAACCAGTTTCACATCAATGCATGAAACTTGCATCACTCCTGACTTGCATCAGGCCCTGTGCTGCCATGCCCCCACTCCAACCAAAGCCGGAGCAGACTTTGCTGAAGTGTCCTTTTTAAGGCGGCTGGGTGCAATGACAGGGAAACTTGGGAAATGCTTCCCCCTACTGCTCAAATTTGAAACAGCACTTAAATATATAATTATGGAAATCTGAGTCCTCTACTGAATTCTTCACCATTACCTCAATTTTTACAACAGGGATGGAAAACATCTGGCCCATGGGCCAGATCCGGCTTGCTGTTTAAGTTGATCTGGCCCACATCAAGTCACTGCACCTCAGCTACCCCCGTGGGGCTGGAGTGCAAATCCTGTCTGTCCTGACCCGGGCAAGGGGCTTGTGTGTGGGGCAAGAAGGGGGGGAGGTTGCACTTCTTAGGTTCCCCACCCCTGTTTTACCGTCTCTGTCAGTGGTTTCAACACAGGTAACCATAAGTATCACACAACTCAGGGCTATTTTTAAGCTCAGTTCTGCTGGCCCTGTGTTGGTGTGATCCCCACAGAGTTACATGCCTATGGGGGAAAGAAGATGCAGCATTATTGTAATCACATGAGGACTGATAATTACGGATCAGTGCGCAAGCATCGCGCTGCAAGCCATTGCTGCCTGTTACTGACTCTTGTCCTGCTGCAACTGCTCCCTAGGGAATGGAGTTATTTACATGTGATTTATTGCAGGTGGATTCCAAAAGCCAGTAGGGATGTAAAATCACGGTTAAATCTTAGGGGCTGCTGTCTCCTGCTCCTAGCTCCCCCAGACGCACAGCGGCTGGCTCCTGACCCTCACAGGGCTGGATCAGCCCTCCACCCATGGTACCCAGTAAGCATCTCCCAGTAAGGGTGATGCTTACTGGGTAACCAGTTACCCATTCACATCCCAAAAAGCCAGATGAGTTTTTCCTCCTCCTCTTTCCAGCATGTCTCATGCTCACACCACATTATGTACAATCACATTTTGTAGCTGTCTATTTAGGTTCTTAGTAGGCCCAACACTTTGGTGTCAGGACGCTGGAAAAATCAGCTTCATTGTAAGAGTCACTTTGTGTGTGGGAAAATGTCTTGTTTATAAATAGCCCTACCATGTGTTAAAAAATTGGGGCTAGATCCTGAGCTGGTGTAAATGAGCATCGCTTCACAGACGTCCGAGAGACGCTGATTTACACCAGTTGGGGATTGGAGCCACAGGGATGAAAAGCCATGGCAGTGTTCATAGCCATGGTATGGTTTTATAGGTCTATACACAAGTGCAAGGCGTATGGGGAAGAAATAGAAAAGTGGATGTGTGAGCCACGAGCTAAGTTATGACTCAACTGGCATTGCAGAGACTTGGTGGGATAAATCTCAAGACTGGAATATTTTCCCAGAGGGGTACATACAGCTTGTATGGAAGGGCAGACAGTGGAAAATGGGAGGAGGTGTTGCATTGTACAGGCAGTCCCCGGGTTACGTACAAGATAGGGACTGTAGGTTTGTTCTTAAATTGAATCTGTATGTAAGTCGGAACTGGCGTCCAGATTCAGCCGCTGCTGAAACTGACCGCCAGTTCTGACTTACATACAGATTCAACTTAAGAACCCCAAGCGTCTCCAAGTCAGCTGCTGCTGAAACTGATCAGTGGCTGATTCCGGGAAGCCTGGGGCAGAGCAACTCTGCCTCGGGCTTCCTGTAAGTCAGCGCTGGTCAGTTTCAGCAGCGGCTGACTTGGGGACGCCTGGGGCAGAGCAGCTGGGGCGCTGCCGGTTGGTCCCGCAGTGCCACTCTGGGCACTACTGGACCAACCCGGCAGCACCCCAGCTGCTCTGCCCCAGGGTCCACAACAAAAGCCTGGTCTGCTGGGGGGGGGCGCAGCTAGTGGGCCCCCCCCCCAGCAGACCAGGGACACGGGGAGCAAAGCCACAGCGGGGTGCCGCACCTCTGAGGCTTTGCTCTGGCAAAGCCTCAGAGGTGCGGCACCCCGCTGTGGCTTTGCTCCCCGTGTCCCTGGTCTGCTGGGGGGGGGCGCAGCTAGTGGGCCCCCCCCCCAGCAGACCAGGGACACGGGGAGCAAAGCCACAGCGGGGTGCCGCACCTCTGAGGCTTTGCTCTGGCAAAGCCTCAGAGGTGCGGGACCCTGCTGCGGCTGCGGCTTCGCTTCCGTTGCCCCTGATCTGCTGGAGATGGTCTCCAGCAGACCAGGGGCACCAGGAGCAGCTTTTCTCGCCCCGGAGGTCGAGGTGGCGGATCGCTGCCTGCGAGCTCCGGGGCGAGAAAGCCCCATTCGTAAGTGCGGATCCGACGTAAGTCGGGGACTGCCTGTACATCAAGAAGGTATACAATTGTTAGGAGGTCCAGAAGGAGGTGAGAGGCAGACCGGCTGAAATTCTCTGGCTGAAGATAAAAGGGGGGAAACCAACTGTAACATTACTGTAAGGGGCTGCTATATAAACTGTTGAATCTGGAGGAGGTGGTGGAAGAGGCATTTTAAGACTAAACAAGTATAAAAAAGGAATTGGGGATTAATTACCCAGACATTGGTTGGGAAAGTAATTTGGCAAAACACAAACTGTCCAGTAAGGTCCTGGATTGCCTTAGGGACAACTTCATGTTTTAGATGGTGGAAGATGGGCATTTTAGACATTACCCTGACTAACAGGAAGGAATTGGCTGCAAATGGGTAGGGTGGAAGCTGTGATGTAAGCCACATGTAGCCCTGCATGGGTAAATTTGTATCCCTTCAGTCCGGCCTTGAGCCCTGTCCGCAGACACACAGCAGGTGTGCCTTATCAGCCAGTAAGATGCTGCTTGCTAGCTGGGAAGGCCGCGCTGGCCTTCATTCTCAGGCCTGTGGGAACGTTGAGAGTTGCATTGGGCCAGTTTGCGCATACTGGGTAAACAGCTAATGTATAAGATCGCTAGGAGCCCCACTCCTGGCTGAGTCTCATCCAGGACCCCAACCTCGAGGGGTGCCCCAGAGTTCCCCCATGCTGGAGCCACGTCCACTGCGGCCAGGGCACAAGGTAACAGATCTGAAGGGCCGTAAGCATTTCTAAGTGCCTGTTGCTCCATATTATGCATTGTCTTGCATGTGTTGGTGTATAATGTCATTTTGCAGTTATCACGTTGTGCAGCCATTTGGCAGCATTAACCCTGTAGTATTAGTGACAGAGTAATTAATAAAGCAGTTATCCCTATTGGCTCTATGTCAAAGTGAATCCATACTCCTGTTCGTTCCCGGCCCTAGGGGTCGTGCTGTGGGCTGGCAGAAGCAAACATGAAATGAGAAATCTAATGATTCTAAGGAAAGGAAGGAGAGAGAGCAGAACAAGGGCAATGGAGTTCCAAAAAAGCAGACTTTAAACAAACTGGGAACTGGAAGGTAAAGTCCATGGGAAGAAAATCTAAAGGGAAAAAGAGTTCAGGATTGCTGACAGTTTCTCCAGGAGACAATAATAAAGGAACAACAGCAAACTATCCTGATTTGAAAGAAAGGCAGGAAGAATAGTGAGGGGCCAATATGGTTCCATCAAAAGCTCACTAATGACCTGAAAATCAAAGAGGCACAGGCAAGTGGATTCAATAGTTTGTCGAGCCCTGGTTATAAGGAAAAGCCAACATCTTGACAAATCAACCCACTTTCCTTCTTTGACAGAGTTACTGGCCTAGAAGTTGGGTGTAATCAATAGATGTGATATATCTTGATTTCAGTGAGGCTTCTGACAGTCCTATGTGTGAACTGCCACACCACTTCTGACAGTCTCAGCAGTGGGGACACTACTTCCTGTAGCTCTCATTGGCCAGGAACGGTGATCCACAGCCAACGGGTGCTTTGATCTCCCATACCCGCGACCCAGAATTTGGAAAGCTCTTTACTCCAGGGCTGAGGAGCCTTTTTTGGGTTGGGAGCTGCTGACTCACAGAAAAATCAGTCGGGAGCCGCACACAAGTGAGAACAAAACAAACAAAAACAAAAAGCAAAAACCAAATCCCTCACTGACGTGGCCCCGACCAAGAAGGAAAAAGACGCTCCTCTCACACATCAGAGCCTAGGGGGGCTCAGGCTAGCAGATTTTGTGTGCTCCAATGCTGGGGGGGAGCCCTGAGCTCTGGGGGTTGGATTCAGGAAAGCCAGGGGCCGGATGCGGCTCCTGGGTCTTAGGTTCCGCACCCCTGGTTTAGTTGGTCAGAGCAAAGGGTGGAACTAGAGGATTGCTCCAAATCCCTTTCAGAGCTACATTTCTGTGATTCCGTATGGAATTATTTCCGCTGTAATACATAGTTTATAGACGGTGGGTGTGCACAAGAAATACTGCTCAGCAAAGGGGCAGCTGCTTTACTGATACCAACAGTATAAGCCTGTCTGTGTGTCACTGCTGAAAAATAGGTACTAACTTCCCTACTGTAGATGGACACAGAGGGGCCTTAGCTAGCAGGGCAGCAAGCATTGCAAGGGCAGGGGCTATGGCCTTCCAGTGGGGGCAGCTGCTTTTCCAAGCATCCTGTGATGAGGTAGAAGAGAAGGGGATTTGCAGAACTTTTTACTTTTACGCACTGATTCCCAGCTGAACTAGTACCTCGTAAAGATTCCATTCTCTCCACCCTTTGTTCTGCTCTCAGCTCTTCGATGAAGCCTTTGTTCGCATCATCTAGGGCCTGAAGTTGACAAGAATAATTAGTGTCAGATATAGACGTGCAGTCACATGACAAACGTTTGTCCCATTCCCTTCTTTCCTAGATCCTTTGGTGCCTTTAAAGCAACCTGCAGTGAAGGGCCTTTTCCCCTGGCCCCCATTGAGACGGCATTGCTCTAGCTAATATACTGCTTGGCATGCTTTCGCTGGGATCATCCCTTCCTCCTTACACCTCCACCCCACATGGCTAGCACTGGCTTTCCCGTTGTTAACTAACCAATGGAGGTGGTTCCTCTGGGCTCCGAAATACACTTAAGAGATCCCCAAACAGGCACACACTCATGCTGCAGAAGCACTGTTTTGAGTTCTGAAACACAGGCTGAGATCAGCCCTGTGTGATCCACTCCAGTGAATAACCTGGAGGGGTACCTCAGCATGCTGACTGTTGCTAGGGCAGCAAGCATATGTCCCATAATATGCAAATCCACAGCCAATACCCCTGATGTTCCACCATGGCTCCTGTCATAGAGATCATGCTGAGTAGCCCCTCCTTACTCCATGAAATTTCAGCAAGGCCAGAATAGGGGATCATATTCAGCCTCTCATTCCAGTACAGGCCATACGCTTGCTGGCATGTACCCAGAGGCAATGAAAGACAGAATTTGACTCCTGGCCCCACTAGGGATGTTAACATGTGTGTAATTGTGTAACCATGTAACCGCTGAAAATTTCAGCAGTTACATGGTTACATGTAGGGCGGCAGGTGGATCCCTGGGAACTGGTGCACACCGGGAGCCAGCTTTTAAGCTAGCTCTCCATGCATACCAGCTCCTGCCAGCCACTCCCTGCGGCTGCCCCTGCTGCCTTTTAAGCTGGCTCCTGGCAGGTACTGGCTCCCGCCTGTTGCCCCACCCCTGGGGAGCCGTCTGCTGCCCTGTTCTTCTGCTTCTGGTACAGAGGCAGCAGCGCAGGATGGCAGCCGGCTCCCCAGGAACTGGACCGGTAGCCGCACGTAACCATTTGGGTAACCAATAAACTCATGCTTATCAGTTACCCATTTAAACAACTACACTCTTACATCCCTAGGCCACACTGAAGTCAACAGAAGTTCTGCCACTGACTCCAATGGGTCCAAGATTTTACCCCATATTAGCTCGCAATGGGACTAAATTTTCTAACTCAAGAAGTTTCATATTTTTTTTTATTTTTGGGGATCATCTTGACAGAGACTGCAATATTCCTCTTGTGGGACATTTCATTGCCTAATCCCCCAGCTTCCCATTCTCTGCAGTCTCTCAGTCCCTGAGCCGGCGGACCACAGGCTGAGAACAACAGTGGTCGGCAGCTTACACACATTGCCCCAAAACTCCTCTCTCGATTACAGTAAACCACTCACACTGATGATGGCCTGCTGAGCTGCATCATTATGAATTAGTTTTGCCTTCTCAAGAGCTTTTTCAAAGTTCATAACTGCTGATTGGAAATCTTCGAGTTTCACTGTAACAGACAAACAGGAATCCATTTTAATGTGGGACTAAGAACAAGAGAAAACTATCAGGTGAGAACAATGAGCCTGTTTTATCGAGCCTTTGTGGGGTTGTTTGTAAGGCACAGGCAGCTTTTAAGGAAACTGTTGAGTAAGCTCATTGTCTGCCATCTTTAAAGCTCTTTGCTACAATGACTTTACCTTGAGCTTGTGCAACCAGCACACTAGCATTGAGTTGCCACTCAATATCACCCTCCTCCTCTGCTGACTGGAGGGACTTTTCTCCATATTCCTGGGCCTCCGTTGCTTCATCGAGCTCTAGGTAACATCGGCCAATTTCATGGAACAACCACGTCTTCTCTAGGCTGGTTTTTGCCAGTGGAATTTTCTCCTCCCATCTTTACACAGGAAAAGAAAGTTACTTCTACTGCCCTAGGTTCAGTGCAATACTGGTTCTTGGCTTTTTAAACCCTTGAAAGGGTTCCAGTTGCTACGATTATCCAAAGTATATTACAGTTAGGCCGGTGTTTGCAAAGAGAGCAAGTCTGGAAGACGATGGGGATTGGCTTCCAAAGTCATTTACTCTCAGTGCTGCTGGTTTGAACCAAGGCAACCAACTGACAATTGTTACCATCTGCTGTTCAGTGGCCTGTACGAAATGCACTCTCAAGTCCAGTTCCTAGTGGCAAGTGTCCACATCACAACTGGCGTTAGCAATGCCCCTTGCTGACAGCAGAATGAAATACAGTGACCAAGCAAAGTCAGATTAATTTAAAAACCACTCTCTTACCTTTTATGTTATGAATTTTACGTACGTGTCAATAGCTTGCCGGAATTTGCCAATTCTGGCATAAACCCTGCCAATGTTGTCAAGGGCTCTGGAGATGGCATCTGGCAGATCACTGCATTGAAGTGAAAGAAAGAGGTCTTAAAAGAGTCTTGGCCCTGAAATATCCTGCATTTTCTTAGGCTCCCTCTATATTCTGTTTGGTGCCCACTGTTTCAGTGAGCTCACATAACAATGTCAGACAGCAATGAAAGAACATTGTCAGTTTGAAATACTCTTTACCAACTGTAAAGTAACACCTAAGATTTCTGTGCATGAAAGAGATAAGTGGGGAGAACATAGTCCTGCTTTATTTATTTGTATTTGTATTTTAATTTTGTGCAGTCACATCTCCTGTTTCCTCTGTGTAGTAAGTCAGCTGTGTGGAGTTTCACATGAGAGAGAAAAGCATTTTTGTATTTGGAAAAAGTGCCCTGTGTAGGGGCAGAGCTCAGACTTAAGTCATTTTTCTATTCAATTAAGTAGTTTAAATTGATAGAGCCCATTTAAAATTGCAGTGGATACCATGTCTCTGGTGGCAGTGGAAGAAACAAAGCAGCTTTTTAAAGTAGTTGAAAAGGAGGATCCCAGTGTCCTGGTCTGTATTCCCTTGTGCTCTCAGTAAACCAGGCTCTGCGATGCTGTGTTCTGTGAGAACTATTGGTCAGTATTAATGGCCATTCATTTTATAGTGCACCCTGCAGAGCTCCAAGTGCTCTTTATGAATATTAATGACCTAACCCTCACGCCTCTCCTCTGAACCAGTTTTACTATCCTCAGCTTACAAATGAGGAAACTGAGGCAGAGAGGGACAAAGGGTATGTTTACACAGCAAAAAAAAATTAAAAATCCACGCTGGCCCATGGCACGTTGGACTCCAGGGTGTCTCACTGCTGTGTAGACAGCTCCCTAAATGCATTGCCCTCGTGAGTGAACAGCAGCACTCAGATCTTCTCACGAATATCCTGCACTTTCACCACTAGAGGACACTTCCTGCCTGATTAATCACTGCACTGGCAGCAAAAAAACAAACCCGTCCAACAGGCACCTCCTTGCTTTGTGAAATGCTTTGAAAAGCTCCATTAGGAGAGGACTATATAAAGCCCATTCTGCTCCATTCTCTGCCTGAGAGACCTGCAGACATTTTCTGCATGAGCAGGTGGCTGTGCCTAGGGGGTACTGATGTCAAGGCTCAAATGAAAATTATTTCCCCAGCCAGGAAACCTAAAAAGAAATCCGACTATTTTTTTCTTAGAAGAAAGCATTGCCTAGACGGGGAGGGGCCAGGAGGGGGCTCAGAATCATTAGCTCTGGGTGCTAGCCCTGGTTCTCACAGGGATTTGATTTGTTTCCTTGGGCAGGACACAACGTTGTTCTGCCTCAGCCTCCCTGTGTGTAAAATGATGTTGCTGTGTTAGTGAATACTGTGAGAGGCAGGTAATGACTTTTTCTAATGCCATCAGCTCCCCAGAAGAGTGTACTCTAGAAGTTCAAAGCATTATTTGAGAATTGTCTGATTCCCCTTCCGTTGGGCAGTATGTCTTTACCATCATCCTTTCCCCTCCCATCTCAAATTAACATTGGGCGCTTCTGAGCACTTACTTTTCCCTTGCGATCCCCAGATCCATCTTGTGACTCTGCAGAGCTGCCCCCATTTGCCTCATCTCAATTTGAGCGTTCCCAATGCAGCTGTAGAGATTTCCAATCAATTCGTTCTTGTTGGGAACTTCATCATCAGACCAACCCTGAATTGTTTTTAGCACATGCTCAGCTTTCTTACAACTTTCTTCAGGGCAGCCGCTGGTCAACACTAGAAGCACAAAAAGAGGATTGCTTAGCACCAAGTCAGGGGCCACTGGAATAGCGAAGAAGACGGGGGCCTGATTCCCCACTGTGTCTTTGGGGAGTCACTTCTACCTATGCAAAGTGGGTGTAAAAGTCTATTCCCAATGTGAGTCTGATTTGGTACCATTTTTCACTCACTTTGCACAGGAGTGAATGAAAACCCATAGTGTAGGACAATGGAAAATGAAACCCATAGACAGAAGATATGTTGATGATGTCTGAGGTCTTCTTATGAGTTACAAAGCATACAGTATAGACACTGAAGAGAAATGGCTGGAATCCCTCTCTCCTCCCTTCCAGACCCTTCTCTTCAGACTCTTCATCCTTGTAGCCTTCTCTGTCCTTGTTACTATTCAGATATGGGTGAGAAGCACCTCAGTGGCCTGACCTCTCTGTTCAATTGTCCCAAGTGGGATGGGGAATTTGCTAAGCACCTTGCACTTGCCTACAGAGTTCAGGTATCCAAAGCATTGCTCTGTACAGCGCTCTGGGATACCTCAAGTATAGGAGGAGCTGGAAAATAAACCAGTGTAAAATTCTACACTGCAATATTGCCCTGGGAAAGGCAGAGGAAAGCAGAACATGTTTAAACCTGCTACAGGTAGGAAATAACAGCTCTCCAGGTGAGGTGCTCCTGCTGATGTGGTCAGTAGCTATCACTGATAATAATATACCCCAATCACAGCACACCTACACATATCAATGTCTTCCATGCTCTTCAGGATGTATCTGGCAACTTCTGATGGCTTTCTCTTTCTCTCTGGGATCCACCTCTGCTGCATGAGCTTGCGGTCTCGCACACGGGCGTAGATGGGCTTCTGCTGCTGCCAGAAATCAGTGCGGGTGTCCAAGTAGTTAATGCCACCCAAGATCAGGTCCTCCACTGTCATCCCCTGCTTTGTGCTGCTTTTGATCAAGTCTGAAAATCAGCCAAAGGCAGAATCAGGAAAAGGGATTAAGGGATCTGAGCAGTGAAACCATGATCTGAGGGATGGGGGATGGGAACATTTTTTGCTGGCCTTCGACTGAGTATCCTGGAGACTAAAGTCATTTAATAATCCCCGGAACAGATACTGCATGTATGGTGGCAGGGCAAGGTTTCCCCAACACCGCCTGCTATTGTGCCTAGCCCTGGCATGAAGGCAGAGCCTCTAAGAGCATGAGGGGACAGGTCTGAGTCCAAGGCCTCTTCAGTCCTTGTCTTCAATGGTGAAAAAGCCCATGAGCACTAGTAGTGGTAGAGTTTGGTGATCTGCACACCTGTCCCACTGGGCCATAGCACAAGATGGGAGACTATCTATCCATCTGAGAAGACACATGTACAGGGTAGATGGCACCGAAAGGAAATGTGGGCATTCTGATTCCGTGGATTGTCCCCATGGAATACTATGAGAACTTTTAAAGGGTCAGAAGACAGGATGGACCCATGCAAGTTATGAAGCCTGGTAAAGTAACAGAATGCAACAGAGGGAGTAAATCCTCAAACTCTCCTGTGTTCCTGGGGAAATGTTTCTCAAGAAAACTAATTTAACCGGTGATTTTTTTCTGCCCAACTCAGATATCTTAACCTTTTCTGAATCCCATATCTTGATTCTAATAGCCTTAGCAGCAAAACCATGAAATTGACCAGTCCAAAGCAAAACTCAGTTACTGGTGCCTTCCACTTAATTCAAACACTGGTTTATTTAATCAAGAACTAGGACATGTGTACTTAAAATAGTATAATTTCTGCTTTTTATTTTGATTTGTGTTAAATGCTTTGGTTTGGTGTTAGTGGATACGCTACAGGATGCAATTATTTAACTAATAAGGAAGAAGTATAAAGTATAAAATGTGTTTAGATACTGTTACAAATACTGATTCTGGAAACTTGAATAACTTGTGTGTATCCAGCTCAAGCAATTTGTAGGTTTGGAACCACGGCAAACAGTAATATGTGCCATGCAAAGGGTGAAACGTTTCTTGGTGGTCAGATGAATAACAATAAAGCAGTGATGGACGACTTAGTCTAGTGAGTGGGCCACATGAGTGGCCTTCCTTCATCTCAGCAGGCTGCAAGATTGTCGAAACCATGACTGTCTCCTGGGCTAGGGTAATTTTGTTAACTGCACTTGCATACCTAGAATTTGTGGGATGTGCCAATTGAACGGTAGCAGCGTTTTGATTGGATGCAGACAGAGCACATGGCTCTCACAGTCAATGTTGTGTGCAATCAACACACACCTCACTTCACATGCCGTTGCTTAACCTGTGTGTCACTTTAGTAAAACTGGTAGGAAAAATACTTCGCAGACAGAAGCCAGTGGAATCTGGCAACCTTGCATTGGGCAACAGTAAACAAGATGTCTCATGGGCCATACACAGACCCCACTGGACTGCGTGCAGCCCATGAGCCACAGGAATAAAGGGAAAAATGGATTTGATTGAACCAAGAGGAATAACATCATATTTAGTTAAATACTATAAAGACCTTCATCCTTGAGCAGTTTCTCCAGGTAGGCCTTGTCAGCATACAGCTCGCCAAGAAGCTGCCGTTCGGTCTTTTCATCTCTAATGGGCCCCACTTTACTCTGCCGCTTCTGATCCTTTTTCGGGGCTTTGACCTGAAGTTTCTGCTTCACTTTTTTGCTCTGCCACAGAACAAAACAGAAGGACGCACAGGAGAGGGATACAGACAAGCACGAAGGCTAGCTTTCAGAAGCCTATTTCTCCACTTTCCAAATTCCTCATTCTTGAAGGAAATAATGACACAAGCACAAGATCGGCCCATTAATCTAGTGAGGATCAAAGTTCAGATCCCAAACACACCTACTCCCTCCCTCCCTTCCTATGATATCAGCTTTCTAAAGGTGGGCGTTCTGCCCCATCCAAAATTGGTCACCCTAATCAGTGGCCACTTTTCAAAAGTTCAAACTTAAATGACAAGTCAGACCAAAGTAGGTGCTACAGATTGATCTCCCCCCTGACATTGATAGAAACTACTCATGTGAGGAAGACCAGCGGAATTTGGATCCATAGCTAGGCACACACAGAGATGCTCTTAGCATTCCTTCTTTCCTGTGTGACAGTCTGTTTGAAAGCAGCAGGTGTTTTGCTGGTAGAAAGGCTCCAGATCAGGTGTTCAATTTCACCTTGGCTGGTGCACTCTTCTGATCGAGCTGCGCAAAATGTCAAGAAGACAGAACTGTCAGCCACATGTGGCACAGTGTGCTAACACCATCCGTCATTCTACTGATGTGGCTGCAGAAAGTTGCAGCCATTTTTTCCCCTGGTTGGGCCAATTCACCATAAAGCTTTTGCATTTTGGTATCTCTAGTGAGCTTCAGAAAGTGGTTCACACCATACCTCTGCCTGTCTGCTTAAAAAGCAGAGATCCCCTTTATTCTCCAGTTTAACTGAGGAAGGACCTGCAAAGAGAGAAAACAGACCTGTAAGTGTTCAAGAGCTGCAGTACCCAAGCCCTAGAGCTTAACATGGATGCAAATGTGCTAGATAGATAATGCCTGGTTGGAGATAAAGCTGTGCAGTTACTATAGCCAAGTTCTGTATCCGTCTCCTCAGTCTAAAAGCAAGAACTGCAGCTCAGAGAAATAGTTCAGCTGTATCGGTTATTAATAAATATTATTTTGAAGCCCCTCTGGTAACACCTAGAGGCCACAACTATGGATCAGGGCCCATTGTGCAGGGGTGGGCAATAATTTTTAAAATAATAATTCACAAATTTTTGAAGTGGCCCTGGCCCGGAAGGGGTGAGGCCTCAGGTGGAAGAGTCAGGGACAGGAGACTTCTCCCCTGCACACAGACCCTGTTGGCCTAGGGGTAGGGGAATGCGTGAAGTCTTTTTCCCATATCCTCCGGCACCTAGAGAGAATCGTCAGCGGTTTTAAAACAGTTGGCGGTTGCTTCTAGGCACCGCAGCATGAGGAGACTTTGTGCACTCCCCCCACCCCCAAGCCAAGTAAGGCCTGGGGGCGGGGGGAGCATGCAAAGTCTCTTGCTCCTTGCCCCCAACCTGCCTGGGGTGTGCGGTGGCTGGAGACAGCCACTGGTTCTTACTAATGCTGCGAGCCCCTGGCACGGGCGGTCGGGGAGGACACTTCGCACATTCCCCCATCCCCAGCTCTCGATTGGCCTAGGGGCAGGGGAGCAGCAGGGCAGCCACGGGCCGGATCCACTGGCTTGGCAGGCCAAATCCGGCCCACAGAGGCTGTCTTGCCCACCCCTGGTACAAACACAACAAAAAGACAGTCCCTACTCTAAAGAACTTACAACCTAAGAGACAACAGGGAAATTAAACAGGCAGATGGGACAGTGCCAGAGTGGGGCACCAGGACATCCACCAGCTCAGAGTTCTTTCTAGATCATATTTGTCAATATTTAGAGCAAAGCACCCCTCTCTGATTCATACAGTGGCTCTCAACTCCGCTGGCAATACACACAGAGTGGGAGACAGCTTTCTGCTTAAAGGGAAAAGGCGTTTGAGACATGCTTCAAATTAACATCCTCTGGTGACAGAGTCAGGACAAGACGATCTATTCCTGGTTGACAGTTTCATTGGTCCCATGCAGATCAGCTGTCACTAGAGGTCAAGGTCACACAGAGAGATGTGGTTTCAGGAAGCAGAGATGAATTTCACTGAAATGCTTTTAACAACATGACAGAAACCTTGACAGGGACTCTGGAGTCTTTGAAGAGTCAGTGCAAATGGAAGAGTAACAGGGTGCTAAGCAGATGGACTGCTGTGTTTTCTACTAGCTGGAATATTTTCAGGGTTGGGTCTTTGTTCTTAAATATAAATTGCAATAATCAAGCATGGGGTCCTGACTGCATGGATCATGGGAGCCAGGTCTACAAGTGAATCCATATTACTGTGGAATCATTAGTTAAATAAACATCTGGCCAGTAATACCCAACAGGGTCCAACCTGTATTCCCTGACCTCAGCTGAGAACGGCAGTGACGCATGGGACTTAGGAGGCAGAGAGATCTTGCTGTACAACGTCCTCTCATTCACTAAGCATGTGAGGAACTCATACAGTATGTGCCAACAACTACTGAATTGCCTGCGTTTTGACAATGCAAGCATATCCCCAAAATGTTCCATCTTACTTCCAACAGAGTTGTCGATCGCCTCCTGAGACTTCTGAATTCCTAGCCTGAATTTCTGTAGTTCTGGGCGTAGTTTGTGGCCTCGGTGATAATACACTAATGCAAATTCAAAGTCACCCATGGTGAACAGGGTCTCAGCTTTTTGGTAAAGTCCCTGTAATGAAGGAAACAAACAGTCTGAATGCAACACATAGAACAGCTCCTAAATCAGTGAGGAATGCACTATGCCCTCTCATCTATGTAAAAATAAAGCCCCATCTTGCAATCATTACTGAGGTGAGTTATCTTCACTTCCTTGGGGTAACTATGAGAGGAAAGGGTCCCAGATCAGGCCCCCATCACTGTTAGACTATAAATATTTGCAGGTGTTTACATGGTGCCAGAATAGCATGAGTGTGTTCAGTAAACATCAGCTGAAACTAGAATCTCCCTGTGGGTTGTGGGATTTTCAACTGGACAGAATAGTCCTCCCGGACACCCCACTGTCCTGACAGAACAGGTAGGGCTTGCCCTGAGCACAAGCAACACAAGGGCAGATTCAGCAACTCACCAGCAGCTCTGAGCTCATGCTCTGGAGCAGGAACAAAGAGTGGGGAAGAGGAGACTAACAACCTGCTGCTCCCCTCTGGCTTCTTGGGGTGTGTCTACACTGCAAAGGAAAAAAAAGCATCAAGTTTCAGAGCCTGGGTCTACAGACAGGCTTGTGTATGGTTCTAAAAAGAGCATATAGACAATGTTTCCACTCTGGCTCTGAAACCCAGCCAAAGTGGGGTGGTCTTGGGGCCCCAATTCCAACCTCAGCAGGACTTAGACACACAAGTTTGTAGATGCAGGCTCTAAGATGCTCTGCTGTGTGGGGAGTTTTGGGGATTTTTTTTGCAGTGTAGACATACGCTCGATGCCCCAGTCACTGAAGGCCAGCCCCAATATACCAGTCCCTTGTTCCCTAATGCTATTTACCTTTGAAAATGTTTTGTCATTTTGAAGAGAGGCTTCTGCATCTTTCAGGGAATTTTCTGTGTCCCCAAGTTTCAGGTAACATACTGAGCGGGCCACCAGGCAGTGCTTATTCCCTTCTTGCAACTGCAGAGCCTGGGATTCAAAAATAGAGAAGAATTCAGTCACAGAGGTGATGGACTTTCAGCAAACACCAGCTCCTGTATTTGATTGAACCCACAATACATTTGTGATGCCTTCCAAGCCAGGATCTCAAAGCCACTCTCAAGCATTCATGAAGAAAGTCTCACACCCCTCTGAGAGAGGGGGCTGGGTGTATCACTCCTAAGGTGGTAGCTGAGCCATGAAGTGGGCATGTGACTTGAGAGAATGAGGAGAAGAGACAAAAAATAAAATCCAGAAGTCCTAGCACTCAGGACCCTGCTCCAACCTCTAGTTGGCACTCCCTAGAGAAATGGAGAAAAAACTGTAACTCAGATCATGACAGGAAGTCAGTTGTGGGATTGATGGCCTGGCTTCTGGTCCCAGTCTGGGCACAGAGTGGGCTCAGGGCCCATGAGGAATACTAACAGGTGGCACTGACAGATGCACATATTGGGATGACACCATGCCACCTCCCCGTGCCATGTCACTGCTTCTCCTCTTGGCATCTGTCCCCACAACCCTCCTAGCAACCTCTCACCTCCCCTGGCTGTGTCCTCACATCCCCTCGCCTCTGTGCACCACACCCCCCTCCCCTCTCCCCGTGCTGTCACTGCTTCTCCTCTTGGCATCTGTCCCCACAACCCTCCTAGCAACCTCTCACCTCCCCTGGCTGTGTCCTCACATCCCCTCGCCTCTGTGCACCACACCCCCCTCCACAAG